GCACGGCGAGGCGGTCGATGTGTAGGCAGACGCAATGCATGACAAAGCAATCGGAGGCGATGGAGAACGATTTCTTCTGTTAGAGAACGACTATCAGTACCCAGCTTATGACGACGGACCTCGTCGTTACTCACCCGATATTCCCACCAGACACGAGCAATGCTTCGGAGACATCGACGGTCGAATACAGAAGGTCGATTAACATCCTCCGATCGGAGAGGCCAGGTCTCGCAGTCGTAAAGAAGAACACTACGAACCTCGGCGATGTACAACCTTCCTTTAAGGGACAGTCGGATGTCAGGACGACGCCACAGGTGTCGCAGGTTGGAGAAAGCTTCTCTAGCTTTTGCTATTCGTGATGTGATCTCGTCCCCCAAACCCCACCAGCTGCAATCAATCTCCCGAGGTACTTAAAGCTCTCAATTACTTCTAGCTGATCACCACAGAGGGTGAGTGCAGGCACAGGCTCCTGCCAGTCTTGAACCAGCAATTTGCACTATGATGGTGCAAAATAAACACCATACCTGGATACCTCTATCGCCAAGTGGTGTAAAGCTTGTTGGACTGCCTATGCATTGTCACCCAACAAGGCGATGTCATCGGCATATTCTAAGTCAAGAACTCTGTTCCCTGGGAGGAGTTCGACTTCCCCGTCTGCTAGACCAGACAAAGCGTCCTGCAAAACATCTTCTATGACAAAGTTGAAAAGGAATGGGGATATAGGGCAGCCTTGTCGAACTCCACTGGAGACGGCGAAGGATGGTTAAAGCAGACCATAAGCCCCAACCCGACCTGAGGTATGGCGAACAGGCGAAATGGAATTCAGTTCACCCGAGCTACGAAAACCGATTTTCAATATATTTTGCCAACTATGGTTTCTTCCAATAAATAACTTGCTACTCCTGTTTTCTTTTCCTTGTGTCTCGGTTGCGTGGGATACTGTTGTTCAAGTGCCAGCGTGATTCAGTGATTACGTGGCGTCCGTAATTTATGATACTTGATTCTTGATTCGTGATCGGTGCGTACTTCAACTGTCGGATTTTTATCGAAAGAGAAGAAGTGGCACCACAAGGAACCGAGAGATGCTGTATGAAGTTTTATTGCCAGGTTAGTGCCGGGGAAGATGAAAATGCATCTGTGTACCGCATAGTAACATGTAGATACATATTGAGACTTCACAGCTACGCGGTTCACGGTAATGATTTGAAACTACGCAGCAAAAGTTCGACATCTTACGACGGAACAGGTGCAACTTCCGTTGGTGACTACATGTGGTACGAACTGCAACAGTGTTCAAGCGGTACAGGTCATGTGTGCTCAAATATCAAAATTTCCTCTTCATTTTAGCCTTTCGCCTTTATATCACTGGTGGCCTTATTTGTCCCAAAAATTCAATATAACAAACAAAACAATAATATCGGGTGTAAGCTCCATTTTCAGAAAATGAATGACCGAATGTCTTTTGTGATGTGGTCGATCCACGGTCTCGCCCACTATAACCCATTTAGTCTTCATACGCGTATTGAATCAGAGAAGACTAAATAAGTGACTCATATAACAAATGACGGGTTTGAGGCAGAATACCAATAACACAGTACCGAAACCACTAACACTCTGAACAGCTTTTGAATTGCATTAACAACAAGAGTTCTCGGTAGTTGCATTGGCGCAACTTCATCGGGTCACGTGTTCAAACGGACTGGCACGTGGGACCAGAAATTTAAACAGAGTCCAGACGATTCACGTGATACATTTGATGGATGAACTTGCTCGATTTACTTACGCCACAAATACCATCCGTAAATCTCAGGCTCTCTGTCATGGCATACAAACACATCCATGAACAAACATTGAGTTCAATGCGTTGACAATAAATCCACTCTGTATTTATCATTATCAGCCAACAGATGACGCATCACCTTGACCTTTACACACACACACACACACACACACACACACACATCTCATCCAGCATCACACCACAAAATTGTAAACTGATGCCGCCTGCTACCAAGACAATCTGTTTTGACTTACTGCTTACGATCAACTGAAACACATGGACTCCATACTCTAGTCCTCCACTGCCTTGTTGTGCGTTAGCTTCTTTCACCAATAGCTCCATGTAGGTCCCACTTCAATTCCGTTTGGATAACCGGGTATTATCACGCCCACATGGACTGCTGCATTTCTACATGCCTTCAATTTTTGCACTCATTCGTCAAACTCGCTCTTCTGAAAAGCGGCACTCAACACTTCCATCCAACCTCCAGAAGGTTCAATCATTTCTCGCCAATAGATGTAACTCCTCATCAGGAAGGATATGAACTCAGGTAGATCAAAAAGAAATCAGTTGTAGAGGGTGAGAATGGGTGAAGGACTGTCATTCGCACTAGTATACCAGCTGGAGCTATGACCACGCATTGATTTGTACCACGACATCGGTCCGAGTTGGTGGTTGTACAGCTCAGGAATGCAAGTACTATGAGATTGTCAAGTTGTCCTACTACCAAAACGAATTTTGAACAAGACTAAGTACAACCCAACTAAGCAGTATCAGGCGAACCCGGCGGACGACAGGTCCGGCGATCCCCTAATAGGGAGAGATTTCTTCAACCCGGACAGAGTACCCGTTCTATGTCCGATCCCTAGATGAGTTACACTCTTACATCGCTCTACCAGACGCTGATCCACAACATAGTAACCTGTGTTTGCCAACAATGTGTCCAGAGAATGATAGACCAGTAGACGATAGTAGGTAAAATCTATTTTTATCGCAGATTCAGGAGCAAAATTGAGATAGAAAGCAGTTAAATTCACATTAACCGGGAATCGGAATATGCCTAGCATGGATAAAACTAGTGAATTCTAGTGCAACTGTTCAGATAAATGATCCTCTCGCGCAAAAGAAACAATAGCATTGGACAATGTTAGAAAAAGTTGTGTGCGCAACAAATCACTGTCGAACAATGTTCATACAAAAGAAAACATTCTTGATTTGCCTGAGGGCACAATGCTGTTGGGTTGCCCAGGCCAAAGCAATTGTGTGCGTACGTGGGCATATCCCCATATTTTTTTGTCATTACTCAATTTAAGAACGGAGGTTCCGCTCGGTCAGGTCAACTCAAGTCAAGAAGCCGTTTTGATTCAGTGTAATGATTGTGGTAGTAGTAGTAGTAGTAGTAATACGCACGGAATTCGGAACACCAACCACA